TTCCCTAATGGCTATACATCGGAATGCTAAATACCAGGGTGTTGTCATTCTGGTTTGCTGTAAAAATCTGTTTCCTCTTTGTTCCTGTACAGATGCCATCATACTTTGAATAAAATTTGTGCCTATTATCACAGGAACTTTCTGACTATATTCTGTTGTTGGAACCACCAACATCAAACATTCATGGTCAGTTGTCGCATCTATATCTGTTGTTTTGATGTTAACTTTCACATATCCTAGATATGGCATAACTCCACCATCAGCACATCTGATCTTAAGTATATCATCTAGAGGTAATATTTGAAGATCACGCAAGTAAGTCTCATAAAAATCTGTGTTGATGGTACACACTGTGGCACCAGTATCCAATAAGGCAGTTGTTTCCACACCATTGATATTAATGTGTATTAAACTTTGTTCTCCCATCAGTCCCGGTATTGTTTCTGGATGATTTCTGAGGCTCTGTGTTCCATGTTCCTGGCCTAGTGTTTGCCTCTCAACGCCGGCCATAGTGAGTTTAAAAGTTGTTTCATATGGTCTGTCTTTATCCTGCATCCAAACTGGATATGTCCTTCTTGACCACATCGAAAACATATGGGCAAACCATTTGGTCCAACTGGGTTAGGTTTATTTCCTTGGAGTCGCTGTGTGTTATAAACTCCTCTTTGACCTCTGTATAGACTTTGACCTCTGTATGATCCTTGACCTCTATTTGAACCTTGACCCCTGTATGTTCCTCGTCCTTGTGGTCTAAACTGAAGTTGATGTGGCGCAGACTGTCCATAATATGGATTTTCTTTATCTCCACTGTAGTTATCTTTTCTAATGAATTGTTGTGGTCTGCTGTATCTCTCATTCTTCAGTTGCTGTACCTCAGCTGTCAGCTTCTGTAACATTCCTTTGACTTCATCCATTTCAGATGTGGGCTTGTCTGTATGTGTTGCACTCATCACATTTGAATCCTTACTTGCTTTAACTTGTGCCTTTTTCCGATGATCATGATCCTCTTCAATAGCTCTCAGTTCTGATCTCAGTTCATCAAAGGATAAAAATTTGTCATGTATGTATCCTGATGCATCCTTCAAATCAGGTCGAAGTCCTTCCCAGAAAGCATGACACAACATGTCATCCACTTTTCCCGCTTCTACTTCTTCTCGGAGGACCGCTTTATTGATGATGCTTTCAAGCCGACAACCCCACTCTGATACAGTCTCATTAGGTTCTTGTTCTGCACTGTAGAATGTTCCTAGTATTTTTTGGCTGCTTTCAATGGTATCATAAATAGAGTTCATCTTGAGTATAATAGTGTCAATGGTTGCACTAGGACCCAGTCTCATGATCACATTAGCAGCTTCTCCCTTCACTGATCTTCTAATTGCTTGTAGGATTTGGTCTTCCCTGTATACTTTCTCTTTAGCAAGGCACTGGATTTCGTAACGCCATAGTTCATAGGATGTTTCACATTTTGATGAACCAGAGAATGTTGAAATTTTGGGAAATCCTGTGTAGTGCTTTATAATGTCAGTCTGAATTTCAGTTTTCACTGTAGGTACTGTAGGTGATTCAGCACTAGCAAATCCTTGTAGCCATGCTTGAAGATCCTGAGGTGTATCTGCCTTGGGTTTCAACTTCAAGGCTTTAAAAGAACTGATAATGTTCTTTGCTTCTTCTTCTGTAATATCTGCCATGATGAATTTTTCCATGAATACACAATCCTAGAATGAATTTGAATTTCCAATGTAGTGATTCACTTTAAAATTTCACTCACATGTATCACTTGAATTGAATTCAATATATTTCACTGATTTCACTATTTCAAAATTTCACTTTTCACATCACAAAATGGATTGTGTCACTTTGATACACATTACGTATACAATATACATGCTACAATATAATAGAATGTTTGTTTTGAATATACCTGCCAGTAAGTCAAACTAACATTTTTTAAAAAATCAAAATGAAATATGCTTGAAAAAAAATAAAAAAAATAAAAATGTAGAATTATATGCCAAATGAACAGAAAAATAAATATCACCAATGTAAACAATGCAATTTCAGAGAAACTTTTGAAAATTTAAATTTTTATCAAATTATACAAAAAATATAAATGTCACAGATAAAAAATAAATGGAATTTCCAAAAAATTTAATTACATAACAAAAATTTCAAAATAAATCACATATCCCAATTAATCAATTTCCAATGAATTCACTCTTAGTTCAAATACCAATCAATACAATATTCTGATTGAGAGTAATGAAATTTAAATTTAAAAAATCAAATAAAATAATTTCAATTCAAGTAATTTTATAGAAAGAAAAATCAATTTATGTAACTCAAAAAGAAAAAAAAATAATAAAAGAGATGTCAAAAAAAATTAAAGAAACTTTAATAAGTAACTGATGAATATATCAAAATTACTCTGAATAAAGGGCAATAACTCTAGTTCACTGCAATTTGGTCTACATTATGTATACAAAATAGAAACAAACAACAATAGAAAAATGTTCAAAAGGCAATGACAACAAAATGAATATATATACACAATAAAATTAAATACAATGAATCAAATGAAAATGAAAAATGAGCAGATGAAATAATAAAATGATGGCAGTCTTATTCAAATATACTATCTATATAGTGAGCAGGTGAGGGAGATACTCAATCTTTACTGTACCCAATGCAAAAAATTCAGTATACTTTGATATTCACTTCAAATATTAACTACGACAGACAGACGGACATGTTATCTATAGCTACCCTTATTGTTGTCAAACACCTACAATATTTCACTTGATCAACATACGTACATGGGTGTATGTATAACCTATCATATACATGTGTGTCTTTATAATGTACATGTACATGTAACTAAGAAGGGCATGGGGTGGGACCTTACCTGTACCTAGTATGTACATCTGCCACAGCTACCACAGCTCTATCAACATCTGTTCAGTCCAGTCAACAATTGTCAAATATAATAAAGCATGCAGTGCAGTGCAAAGTTGTTAGTAAAAGAGCAATTTTGAAAGAATTTCAATATGAAACTATATCAGTTACCAGTACAATAAGGACAGGGCACAAATGTTTTTGTTTTCAATATACTTGTTCCTAATACATGTTTATATACAACAGATGATATAAATAATCTTTTCTATATACTGGTTAGGTAAACAAGTGTTGTATTGTAGATTGTCTTACCAACCACTAGTGGAATAATGAATCACCACAGAGTCAATGCACTCAGAAGTCACAATATAAAGTCACAGTTCACAGTGTTGATCACTACTGCATGTAGGGTAAATTAAGTCAGCAAGCACAAAACTGACACTGTTCACTATAGCTCTCGCAAGGAGGAAGGTAGATGTAGACCATCTTTCATCAGCTTCATCTTGTGTAGGCATCGTCCATCATCAACAACCAACGTGGGCGCCAAATGTAGTAGTGGCCTTTAGTGAAGAATATAACACACCACTTATGGGTTCATCATTTATTATTAAATACTTCAGTGTTGATATGGATGGACTCAATGATAATATAATAGTTGTAGTTATAGTTTAAAGCCCTGTAATAGGAATAAACAATATTGAGCATAAAAAATCAACAATAAACTTGCAAGGGAATATATATAATACAAGAAGGATAACTCTTGCTATCTTCTTAAAGTTTAAAGTACTTTACAAGTTATTTCCCTTGACTGCATTAAAAATATATTAAAAACATTAATTCTGATAATGAATATTATGCATATACAATATTACTCCATAAATATATACATTTCAATGCAACTATTTCACGTTACATTTATCTATGATAAAAGTATTATATTTCATATGCTTATCAATTAATCACCTGTTTATGGAACAAGGCTTAAACTCAATAAGCTGCCTGAATCAAGTCTCGGGTATACTACATATCAACTGTAAATATTAATTTAACTATATAACTTCAGAATCAATAATCAGATCCCATCAATGAAATTGATAACTGATATTTATAAATTACTAAGGTCGAATGATAAAAGTAAAAGAAATAAACTTGATAATCAAATCAATTGAATTTACTCATGAATGATAGAAAATGCATAAATTAGATAATTTACAGAAATATTAAATCAGATATTAATCAAGATAATAAAATATAGAGTGCACTTACTATCTGTCAGTACATCTTTCAGGTCAATCAGGATAATTCAAATATGGCAGACTTCACATAGATACAGTCACTACATAATTATATATTATAAGAACTTTCCTCTAAGGAATCTAACTTTCTAATGAACAAAGGCAGTTCACCAAAAGCGGGAAAATATATATAGTAAATCTATTGGTTCTTCAAACCACATGACATGTATCACATGTCTGAAAATGACCACCTAGGTAAAATAGCCATAGGCATTAAATACCAAAAAGTCATTAATTGAAGAAGTCAACTAATGATCAATGAATAGCACAATAAAAGAACCAAGGGAGAATAGGGCAATACAGGAATGTGTATCCAATTGTGTTTCAACTAAATATATACAAAATGATGATGATGTAGATGATGATCAAGTGAAATAATTATAAAACAACAAGAAACACAATATACATTTAGTATCATTTATTAATCATAAATATATTGAAAATATCACCCTATTACACCATGGCGATTTTACCAGATGTTCTTGATATATTTTAATGGATTAAAGAAAAGACTGTGACTTGTTACATGTACACACATATATTGCGTATTTTCATCAATGTGAAATGACTGTGAAATACATTTATGTCCTCCCAAAAAGGAGGAGAGGAAACAATGCTAGAATGGATGTCTGTCTGATTGTCTCTTCACAAAGTCATGACCAGATGACAATAACTCCCAGAATCTTGATTGGAATTTATTTAAATTTAAGATGATTTTGCCCATGACTTTAAAATACATGTATCTTAGGATTTTGACTCGTGAATAGCTGAAACTTTAACAGAATAGTACTTAGTATTCCCACTCATTGACAGGTGCTGCTAAGACTGAACGTATAACTGCTACTGGTACGGCACTCAAACTGTTCAAAGAAAAGGGAATTCTGGGTATTTACAAAGGATTCCGAGCCACGGCACTTAGAGATGTCACATTCTCAGCAATTTATTTTCCACTGTTTGCCATTGTCAACGAAAAGGTTGGTATAACTGGATTTTTCTTAAAAAAATAATGAAAGTAGTCACATAAGTAGTATTTTTCATCTTTTTATATAAATTTTGTTCAACATGATTTTTATGGGAATATTGTCCTTATTGGCTTGTATCTAGTATATTTAAATTTGATGGAAATTTTAATTCTAACTTCTATTTAACACCATGATTACCAGAAATCATCATGAATTAAATTTATCAATTTAAACAGTGTGTATCTTCTGTGATAGCTGTGGTTCTGTAAGCACATGTTGTAAAGGTGGGTGTGACAATGAAAGGGTTGATTCATTCCTGATTTGTTCATTTTCTGTTGTAGCTGATTTCTGATGATGTGATGGGGTTAGCAGGAGGGCTGGACCAGCCTGTGTTTATCTATTGGTTGATTCATTCCTGATTTGTTCATTTTCTGTTGTAGCTGATTTCTGATGATGTGATGGGGTTAGCAGGAGGGCTGGACCAGCCTGTGTTTATCTATTGGTTGATTCATTACTGATTCATTTCTTTTCTGTTGTAGCCGATTTCTGATGATGTGATGGGGTTAGCAGGAGGGCTGGACCAGCCTGTGTTTATCTATTGGTTGATTCATTCCTGATTTGTTCATTTTCTGTTGTAGCTGATTTCTGATGATGTGATGGGGTTAGCGGGAGGGTTGGACCAGCCTGTGTTTATCTATTGGTTGATTCATTCCTGATCTGTTCCTTTTCTGTTGTAGCTGATTTCTGATGATGTGATGGGGTTAGCGGGAGGGTTGGACCAGCCTGTGTTTATCTATTGGTTGATTCATTCCTGATCTGTTCCTTTTCTGTTGTAGCTGATTTCTGATGATTTGACGGGGTTAGCGGGAGGGCTGGACCAGCCTGTCTTCATCTATTCTCTGTGTGCCGGGATTACAGCTGGGGCTGTGGCTTCACTGTCTGTGAATCCATTTGATGGTAAGATATTATCTCATCCAGCTGTTTTAGCTGACAGAATCTAATCATTATAAAGTGTATGTACAATTAGCTGCAGAACTGTAGCGCTCTGGTTGAGAGCTACAGATCCAAGTATTGAAAAAACCTTCGATTTAAGGCAACGCTTTTTTGTGGCTCGCTTTGGGATGATTTCCTGTATTATTTGCATTCCCCAGTTTATTGTACGGTATCTGTTAATTAACTAAATATTTTGCTCCTATTTCTGATACTTTATTTAGCTTTAGGGTGTGTAATTTTAGCCTGACCCCACCGCATGGACGTCGGAATGGGATTTTTAAAGCTGATATTCCAAGGCCATAACGGGCTGTTTGTAAGCGTTAAAAGGTTAATTAAGTATCAGGAATACAAGGATACAATATTGTTAATTAAATAATATCATCCCTTAGGCAGGAAAACACATATAATATAAGAAATAATACCCAAAGAGAGCGACAAAAAAGCATCACCATAAATTGAAGGTTTTTTCAATGCTTGGATCTGTAGCTCTCTGATTTATTTGTCTGAATTTTCTCAACCAGAGAGCTACAGTTCTGCAGCTAATGTACAGTAAAACACACAAATAGCAGAAATGAACAGTTTTATTATGTGTGTTTGCTGTAACTTTGTTTTATTTCACCCTGAATTATGTTAGAAGTGGGTCATTTATAATGAAATTCAATAGATTTTGAACAATTTGTGGTATTAATCAAATTAACTTTAAGGACATAGTTTTACACACTTATCAGAGCCACTCTGCATTTAAGGTATTGATTCAGAACTATTTTAACTAGAACATTTTCTATGACAATGAATTTAAATACTGAAGGTCTGATGACACGTTCCTCAAACATCTGTTTTGTTTCTCTTCGTAATATACAACAAATTAATCATATTCATAATTACTTTGTGATTTCTAAATTGTTTTTGAAATGTTTAAATAAATAAAGACACCAAAAGTTTGTGATATTGCCAATACTAGTGATTTTCAATAGGGTTACTTAGTACACAACATTCTCTGATATCTTTCACAAATGGCTGGTGGGTAAGGTACCTTAATTTTTTCGCGAGGAATCTTATTAAAGTAGCAATACTTCAATGACAAAGTCTTGGGAAAAAATATCTATTATATAACTTAGGAACGTGTTGTCTGACCTTAGAACAACTGAAGGAATTTTTTCTTAATTTTAATGAAGATGAAATTTTATTTATTTAGTTGTGAAAACTCGCCTACAGACTTTGAAGAAAGCAGAAGGAGAAGCTACCTACTCAGGAATCTTGGACTGTTTTACGTATGTATAACATCTGCTGGAAAATATTTACACTTGATTTTGGTTACATAGACAAATACCTCGTAAATGTTTTTGTATTGATTTGTATGAAAAATGTGATTCATTCTGAAGGGTTTTAAGGGGAGGAAAATTAAGTTTTACATCATCAGAGAGCTTTGTTATTCATATGTGATCTTGAGAGCAGTGACAAATATAGACTGACAGCTTGAAGTTTTCCTTGAAAGGAATGTTTTACATTCATATTTGTATCGAGAATACACAGTTAAGATGATTTATTTTATGGAAAGAAATAAACATTTTATAAAACTTAAATTTTTGGCTTTTTTTTTTTCCAGGACTCTCATAAAGAATCAATAATTCATTAGAAGCTGTTTTTACATCTAGTTTGTTTTCCATGTAAAATAAATTCAAAGAATTCTCTGCTTACAGGAAAGTGTACAAAACAGAAGGATGGAAGGCATTTTTCAAAGGTGGCTTCTGCAGAATTCTGGTAATCGCACCCCTGTTCGGGATCGCTCAAGGTGTATATTTCCTTGGCATCGGAGAGCATATAGTGGGGTTCTTCTCCAAGTCAAAGTGACATATTAGTGATTTTTAGGTTGGAAGGTTGCAAAATAATTGACATATTTGAATAATTTGTTATGTTGTCTGTGATACCTAAGTTTAGTGATCTTAGGGGGCTAACAAGTGTATAGTAAAAACCTGCAGTCAAAAGAGAATGAAAGATCATATACATGTATTAAAGAAAAAATAGGATTGAAGCACAAAAAATACTCATGTACTTAGCAATTTAGAATGATTGTATTTAAAGTACTATAGTTTTTATTTAAACTTGGTTTTAAGTAGTAGAAGAGACCTGAGATACATAGGTGACTATGCAGTGACTGTTATTTAATTTTTTTTCTTTGTTTACTGAATGAAAAAACAAAAATTGTAAAATGGAGTAGATTGAATATGTTTTTTCTACAAGGACTTGTATGCTGTTGATAATGTTTAATAATTAAGCATCTAACACAATATTTCCTTTTATTTTGCTGAAAAAAAGTAAATTGACAATCATGTTTTCTCATCACATGATGTGCCAGTACCAGGAATCTCCAAGTATTGACAGCAGTAAGAAACTAGTCAGTATTTACTATTTTTAGCTCGTCCATTACAGTATGTGTTTCAAAAATATGTACATGTAAGTGGAAAGATACAAACCATCACTTTTTTGTTTTTACCTGTATACCACTATAAATTGTATCGTGCTTTGTGCCAGTTTTTTTTTTTTTTTCATTTTCTAATCAGTTCATTTATATTATTAAGCAATTTTATTCAAAAGCATTATGATTTGTGTTGATTTATCAATAAATTTTGCAATAATATGCACAGCTTTCTTAAGAGAGTGAATTATTATGAAAAAATGTGTAGTTCTGATTTTGAAATCAGCCCTCATAAAAAGGAGCCAGTATTGTAGTACATGTAATAAATTTTGTGATGTACACAGTAAAGTATACATTATACAGAACACAGAATTTTCATTAATAATTGTCTACAATGAAGTGGTGTTTGATTAGAAAATACAACTTAAGCTTGAATTATTGACATTGTACTTTGCCATAATGACTTAAAGATTTATCAAAGTAACAGCTGTTTCCCTTAGAGCTTCCTTTCCATGAGTTAAGTCCCCTGTTAAGTCCTGTGTCGTATTATATTAATATAAAATTATACAACTTCTGAATTAACCTTGATATCAGGCCTGTCAGGAGGCAAAATTCTGTCAATCTTGATTTTTTTTTTCAATTTTCCATGTCCTATATGACAGTGTCAGACCTGTTTACTGTTACGATTTCGCCGTATTTTGTATGGATTTTCAGTCCAAAATAGGTCTTACGTTTTGCTATAACGAAAATACGGAAATCTGTTCATATGGATTTTAGCAATTAGTTTTCATTATCTGTCTCAGTATGACGCTTTTAAATCGCTAAAGAAGAGAAAATTTTCGAACATTTAAGTTGCCAAAACGCGGTGGTTTAAAAAATGACAGAAATCACTCAAAAGAGAGTAGTGTATGACATTTTGCTTTGTTATTAAACCATGTTTTGGTAATCAGAAATGTAGTTGTTTTCTATAATATATGTACAGTTGATGAAAAGTGAAATCTTACGGGCAAATGCCAAATCTCACTGACAAATCTAATGAAAAATACTGAGAGACAACAATTTGGGTAAACAGGTCTGCAGTGTATTTATGCCTTAAAAACTTCTTCTTTTTTTTTTTTTTACATTTCCACATGTGAATTGAGTGAATTTTTTATATGTAAATTTCTAAAATGGAAAAAAAGGAATATGTCTCTTATTGTGATAGTGCTGGTGAAATGTTTATAACTCTGTCAATATTGGACATTTTAAAGATTGAGAAAGATAATCGAAGTCATACATCTACCTCCTGAATTATTTAAAAATAATTGAAATAGAATGACCCATTTATATGTATGTTGTGTTCACTACATAACACAGTAAATCCCCTTTATTCCATGGTATATTGATATTGATGTGTGATTGACATACCCAAGTTACACTGGATCTGTGTTTTAAATATTACCTGCATTAACCTTAGTCATTTTATGCATTTACCAGTCATGTGTTTGTACCTTTTATTTTTAGTAGATTGAGTTATGTCTTGTTTTTTTTTTCCATTAAAATCTCATCAGTCAAGTGTTTCCTGAATTATCAAATTGTGATTAAACTTTGTTTAATGGAAAAGACAAAGCTATCATATTGGAATATTAAAACTTAATTCTCCCTAGTCTATTTTATCTCCAATATAAACTTTTTCATGTTTGTTTTTTATTTTCTGTATCATATTGTAGCTAGTTTAATACATTGAATTGTTTGCTTTTGATTAATATTTGCTTTTATGTTCAAACCATTTTCATGCTTTTGATGAAAAAAAACATGACTTTTTTGATCTGCAGTCTACGTGGTTTGATCTGTAGGGGAATATACAATATACAGTACTTGATCTGCAGTCTAAGTGGTTTGATCTGTAGGGGAATATACAATATACAGTACTTGATCTGCTCAATTGTTATATTGATACATTCCTGTCATTCTTTAATACAAGGGTCTATACAGGTAGAACACCTACAGAAGTACACACGTACTGTATATCAGTAAGGCTTAAGTACACACGTACTGTGTATCAATAAGGTTTAAGTACACACGTACTGTGTATCAATAAGGTTTTAAGTACACACGTACTGTGTATCAATAAGGTTTAAGTACATACGTACTGTGTATCAATAAGGTTTAAGTACACATGTACTGTGTATCAATGAGGTTTAAGTACACACGTACTGTGTAAGGTTTAATAATTCTGTTATAATAATCCAACATATTACAGGTTTATGTATAAGCTTTTCCTTACATGTGTTCATTTAATAGATGCATTTAGTATATTTTTAGTAATTATGGATTTGGTTTAAAACATTAATATATTGATTGGTAAATAAATGATTTAAAAGATTTTTTTTTGTGCCATATTTGTTTGGTGAAGAAATTTTGTACCTTTATGTTTGTAAATATGCAGTAAATATAAAAGTAAAAACTCCACAAAGAATATCAATTCTAATTTTATAAAAGCATGCAGAGAATAGGTAACCATTGATTGTATGGAGAATATACTTGTCAATAGCATCGAAACCATTCCTCATGTTAACACCATGCAGGTTTTTTTTTTTTTTTTTTTTTTTTTTTTTTTAATACATGCAGGCAACTGCTTCAATTAAAATGGAACTTGATAATTTTAATATCTTAAAATTTGTCATCTACAAAATTACTTTGATAAAAATCAATCTTATTAATATATAAAAAAAGATGCTTGGGTTTCTCATTGAAAGTACCCTATCTATGTAGTGTTTGGAGACCAGGTCTTCCAACAATCTGTTGGAATTCTCATGGGTAATTATAGTTATGCCCCATTATTAGCAGAACTGTTTTTGTATTCCTATGAAGAAGAATAATTCTAACAAAAAGAAGAATTCCTCTTGTCAGGGCCTTCATTTTCACATTTAGCTATACTGACATTTTTTTTCAATTAATAATTATTCATTTTCATTCCTACATTGATTTGATATATCCCACTGATTAACTTGAAGCAGTAGACACCAGAGAGTCTGAAAATGTACATAGCCTCGATATTAGAAAAGTATGTCACTATGACACTGATGTTTGGGCTGTTCCACCATGATGCCCCAAAATATGAAGTTTGCAGGATATGAATCTAAACAACACCTGAAACTTACAATCAATTACATGTTTTAAACAAAATTTTAAAGAAGGACACTAGAACACCCCCTTCTTCTTCATGTATGTATTTCAAATCTTCTTTCAGTATATAAGATTTGTTTGAAATATAATGGAGAGTAGAGATATAAAAAGGAATGGTCTTCATGTTAGTCAAAGTGAACATATTCCCCATTCAGCAAGTCTCTATTCTGTTACATTTGATGGGGTCTGGAGGTTTAGAGTCAGCCAAGGTTTGTGGTGTCATTTCCTCATCATTTTTTTAAAGAAAAATATAAAAAAGAAGTATATTCTACAAAAAATACATTTAATATTGCACTTGACAAAGAGAAATAAATTTTTGGTCAGTATCAGTCTATATGCGATGTTTTGAAGAATCTTTTTCTTTCCATAGTTGGAGTTATGTGCCCCTGAAACAGAAAAATAGGAGCAATACAACATCAGTTTGAATAAAAAGATAAAGACCACTAATAAAAGGATTTAAAAAATTAAACAAACTTTTTTTTAAGAATAATGGAGTTTATAATTATATTTAAAAAATGAAGTCCACTTTACCTGATGGTATGTATAACAACATACATTTTTTATAAAAAAAAATATTTTAATACTGTACCAAGTTCAACATAGGAATTTTTTTTGACATGCAAATCTAGTCAGCTGGGAATCACAGTAGATTAAATATAAAAAGAGAAAGCTGAGAGAGTGGAAAGATGCAAGATACTCTTAAAATAGTAACTGAACAGTTTTCTGATTTTATCACCATGCTCAATCTAACATTTTCATATACATGTAAGCACATGTCATTGTTATATGCTTTAACCACAAAGTGACAAACTTTTACGTCTATCATGTGGGCCTTTATAATCGTCTTGGTAACATGAATCTACACATTTTTGTGCCCTACCCACTAAGATGTCATGCTTACCTTTACCGAGACATAATAAAGCGACATTCAGGAATAGGTAAATCCCTCCACCTACCGGGTATTTATAAATCTGTAGTGATGCTATATACCAATCACTTCAACTAAACATATAAGTAGATTTTGACTGTTGCTGCTGTTATTTGTAACCATCACCTGATTTTAAGGGACATCTTCCACTAAACTTGTAAGTATAGATTTTGATTGTTGCTGCTGTAACCATCACCTGACTTTAAAGGGACATCTTCCACCTTGGAAGCATTGATAAATACTTTTAGGCTTACGTCTGTGTTAACTTTGGCCTTACGTCTGTGTTAGTCGGTGTAAGTATAACCGAGTCTACTTCCTGTAGTACTTACCTGGTTACCGCCATCTCTACTGTGGTACCGCCGCTCTATCACCTGGAAAGAGAACTGTAATCAGCACAAACAAACGTGATATACACAGGTATGGCTAATCACGCCCAGTGGCAATACAAACAAATCATAATATACACATGTAGTAGCAAATCATGCCCAGTGAAAATGTGTCCAAATTCATTACAGTCCAAAGTTTATAATCAGAAAGGATTCTGTGTCTCAGGATATTGACCTTTGTATATGACCTTGGGTAAAGAACATTATAAACTTGCAGTTCAATATCAGCAGATAACTAGAGATGCTCAGTGACTTGACCTTTGATCTATGATCTTCAATTGAGTCAAGGTCATGTCACAAATGTAAAGTGACAACACATTCAAATTTGAATTAATTTCAGTCAATGGATTCAGTCAAAAGTAAGAGTCTGGACATAATTTTGAAACAGACAGATGGACAGACAGCAGACAGACAGATAGAAAACATAGCAAATATAGTGTATATCATACTGGACATAGCATGAAGTCATCTAAAATAAAAAGTTGTAAAAGGTGAGTGTCAGTTCTAAACTCTGCTGTTGAGGCCAGTCTATGTTTACTTACCTTATCAAAAAATTTGGTCAGTTTGACAGCATTAGTGGATCCTGGGGATATATGTTTGACTTGGTGACAATCCTGGTAAAAAAAAAAAAAGTTGTGAAATGAAATGCTCATCATAGTCAGCCTCCCATGCTGCTTTATTTTGTAACTTTGTCAAGGATTTCAGAATTCTTCTCCTTAATTTTATGTATATATTCAAAATTTTCTGATTGGGAAAAGCTGTAATTAAATTCCAATTCTCGAAATACTTGTACAAGTTAGACAAACTCAAGGAAAGTTAGTTAAGCATACTTTAACTTAAGTTCAGGCATTTGTTTTTCTACAAACCTCATAATTCAAACTATTTTGTTTAGCATATACCTAATTATAAATGTACATGAACGAACATGTATATCACAGGCACTTAAAGTTAAATATTTTTCTTTAAAAAAATTAACCCCATACCTGATTTATAAGGTATGTTTTTTTTTTAATAAGAAAAATATGTTAAAGTCAAGTGCCTGTGATGTACATGTATATGTTAATTTCTATTGTAGAACAACTTTAAGTCCATCATTTCTTTGTATTCCAAACTGTACCAGTCGAGATTATAATGTCACTCAAGAGAAATTGGGCTGAATTTCATAAATAAAAGTATAGAAGAATAAAGTAATGAATTATTTACAAGATTGAATTCATCGGCCCCACACTCCTCGGCCACGGATGAGCGTCCTGAAGGTGATTTCTCTCGTAGATTTTGAGCCTGGTCAGCCTTACATCCTACCACCATTATAGGGATCTGAATCCCAGCAAATAGCTCGGGATCATAATCCCCTCTGTAAATCCCAAAAATAATCCCATGTTAATAAATACATAACCATAACACTTTAAACTCCAAGTTACCAGTACATACATAAAGTACATTACACTACTATTACACACAATACACACCTATTACAAAGTATATTACACTATCTTTATGCATTACACATTATCATTACAGACAATACACACCCATTACAAAGTATATTACACTACCATTACACACAATACAAACCCATTGAAGTCTTTAGTGTTTCCTTTGTTGATGACCTCTGCCAGCCATTTCCTCAGATTCTGGTGAGATTTTCTGTTGGACAAGTCATGAACAAGCAGTATACCTATCAACAGATTACAGATTATCTATCAACAGATTACAGATTATCTATCAATACACCTATCAAAGAATTACAGATTATCTATCAGTATACCTATCAACAGATTACAGATTATCTATCAATACACCTATCAACAGATTACAGATTATCTATCAGTATACCTATCAACGGATTAGATTATCTACAGTATACCTATCAACAGATTACAGATTATCTATCAGTACACCTATCAACAGATTACAGATTATCTATCAGTACACCTATCAACAGATTACAGAATATCTATCAGTACACCTATCAACAGATTACAGATTATCTATCAGTACACCTATCAACAGATTACAGATTATCTATCAGTACACCTATCAACAGATTACAGATTATCTATCAGTACACCTATCAACAGATTATCTATCAGTACACCTATCAACAGATTACAGATTATCTATCAGTACACCTATCAACAGATTACAGATTATCTATCAGTACACCTATCAACAGATTACAGATTATCTATCAGTACACCTATCAACAGATTACAGATTATCTATCAGTACACCTATCAACAGATTACAGATTATCTATCAGTACACCTATCAACAGATTACAGATTATCTATCAGTACACCTATCAACAGATTACAGATTATCTATCAGTACATCTATCAACAGATTATCTATGAATATACCTATCAACAGATTACATATTATCTATCAGTATACCTATCAACAGATTACAGATTATCTATCAGTACACCTATCAACAGAGTACAGATTATCTATCAGTATACCTATCAACAGATTACAGATTATCTAGCTATCAGTATACCTATCAACAGATTACAGATTATATATCAGTACACCCATCAACAGATTACAGATTATCTATCAGTACAGCTATCAACAGATTACAGATTATCTAGCTATCAGTATACCTATCAACAGATTACAGATTGTCTATCAGTATACCTATCAATAGAATACAGATTTTAACTAAACTGTTACCTAGGTATCAAGAGTGAACATTTTTTTATAATTCAATGGTTCTCTGTTTCAAATTCCTGTTCACAAAATGGAATTGCAGACTAGGAAAGTATATGAACAGCCAGACATCATGGATAAGAAAATACATGATATTTTGATGGTGCGTAAATACTGACCAGCAATTCATTTATATTCATGCATACTTTTTAAAATGGGTAGCAATATGTTTGCTGTCATTAGCATAGCTACTGAACAGACAAGCTTACTCACCATGAACAGAATGATAGAATATGGAGCGGCTATTCTGATGACTTGTCGACCCTCCGACGTCCCACATTTCTATAAAATAAGTCTTCTCTCCAGGAGTCCCTGCCTTGTAATCATGTAACTGAAAACAGTTATTATGGCAAAAGTCAAAAGATAATGTATTGTATTCATTTCAGTGTTGGGTTTTGCATAGAACAGAATAGAATTGTTGATCTACTGAAGACAGAAAGATTGAATTATAAGGCAATCCCCCCCCCCCCCCCCAAAAAAAAATACTGTCAATAAAATTGCCCTAGCTCAGGTGATAAAACTGTAGGGGTGGAGTAGTAGCATCAACATGATCAAAGAAATATATTAGATCTGCAATTTGTTTTTTTATATCTAGTTTGTATAATTATTCCACTTTTTATATTTGAAAACAATTAAAAAAACATTTCTTAAAAAAATCTATACCTCAAATGTCGGGACATTGATATAGGAAAAAATAAAAAAAGTACATATATATGGGGTCCCTGCAGCCCCTAAAGAACACTCCTCCATCAGGTAAAAGACCTGCCAGGGAAGAGCCTGAGTTGGTGTCTTTGGGGACCAAAGACGTTTAAGGAGGGAGGAATGTGGTGGTCAGATGGGTTCCATTACCGGTAACCAGATAGCTCGGCTGATAGAGCACATGACTAGAGATTCAGGGGGCCCAGGTTCGCATTCCAGTCTGGTCCTTCGCATTTTTCCTCCTCTCCTGTTGCATTTGGTGCTGTTGACGACCCCTGGACTTGCAGGTGAAAGTCCTGCCAGGGGCAATTAAGAACTTGGGCTATATGTCTTCCAGGGCAAAGTCATTTTATTTAAGGAGGGATGAATGTAATGGTTTGGGCTGTGGATATCAGGTATCTCAGTCATTAGAGCACCTGACTAGTGATGCAGGGGTCCCGGGTTTAATTTACTGTCCAGGCGGCTCAGCCATACATTTTCTCCTTTCCTGTTACATAAGCATGCATGAAACTTTGAATTTTAAGTTCAGGGTTTAAAATTACCATTTGCCCACTTGCCATTTGCAACTTAATCATTTTCATGTGTGGGCAACTTAAAATTATGTTCAAGTTGCCCATGTACATGGTGATTAGAAAATTTACAATAATAATTATTTGTTTTCCAATTTTGACTGAATGTTTTGCATTTTTTATTTTGAAAATGCCCCTTGAATTGCAGGTTTAGCAGTCATTCTACGATAAATGGACCAATTCAGAGTAAAAAACATGAAAATAATTGTTTCAAATAGCAAAATGAACACAGGGTTCGAAATTCACTATATACAACTCGCAAAACGCGAGTTAGAATTCCCAAATTGCGAGTTAAAAATTTGGTAACTCGCAAAAACTTGCGAGTTTTTTTTTTGCATTGAAACTGTAGCAAAATTATATAATATGACAGAACACAATGCTTTTGATTTAAATCAGTAATTTAAATAAAAGTCACACCGTAGTTGTATTTTGTGTATTGTACAGTGGTTACTTTTTCCTTAAGTAACATGTTTTTAATTTGTATAAATTTAACTTTATATGAAAACTGCGAGTAGTCTTGTAAAATTGTGAGTTCACTTTCTTGGTACTCGCAATTATTTGCGAGTTGTAATTTTAGGGAGTTTCTAACCCTGGAACATCATAATCCTCTAAATCAACTTGAAAACAAAGAATTTTCCACAGATCTGGTATCATTATCTTTTTACAACAATTTCAAGATACCATTGATTTTATAAGGTAATGTTACGGAAGTTGCTTGATCAAGCCTTATTATTTTTTTAATAAGGCCAAATAAAAAAATATGTGTGGTTCCGGTTACCCGACCTTCCCTATTTTATACCCCCGACCCTAAACTTTTTTTTGGCAATTTTCATATTTTTTCTGGAACTTTCCCCAATTTCCATCAATGGCTCCGGTTTAAGTTTTAGTTTCAGCAATGACGGCCTCCTTGCAAAACATAGTAGAAGTGTTTAATAATATTAAGTCCAAAGCAAGCTAGCATGTAGGTGTTCCCTACCAATATTGACTAGTATATAATCACATCACATCTAAATGCCATTTGCAAAGCAGTGATAGGTATTATTTAGAAAAATTAAGAAAATCATTTTGTTAAAAAAAAAAAAAAAAAAAAAAAAAAAAAAAAAAAAAAATCCCTACCTACCTACCCTAATTTTTTTGGAAGTGTAACCGGAACCACACATATTTTTTTGTTTGGCCTAAAGCTGAATTTGACCAATTTTTCGTTTCTGATGTTCAGTAAAGAACGCTAAAGTATGATTCATGAAGTCTCGCATGAATCTGAATTTATATTAAAATTTCGGGAAAAATATCGTTACAGAAGTTAATCGTTACGGAAGTTAATTCCCAGCAATAAAAGTTAAAATTCTGTTCAATTGTTAAAATCAAAGTTTGTTTTAGGATATTAAACAAAAGTATGAAGTATTTCGCTCCCAAAATAATAAAATTTTTTATACCTTTAATGCAAAAACTTTCCTGAATTATCATTACAGAAGTTTTTGTCTTATTCATTTTGTTATGTCAAAAATGTAATCGTCTAAAAAAGCTGACATGCAACTAGAATAGATGATATAAGGTTCCGTGGTCACTTTCAGATAAGTTTCAGTTCTTTTTAAAATCTGCATTCTATGCATGAAATTTAAAACAAAATCATTAAAGAAGTTAATGGATTAAGCGACATGCTTATGAATTCGCATGAGAGGAGATCCATGCATTCCTTTGCGAGAAGTGGTTTGATTTCTTTTTATATAGGATAAAAGACATTTTTTAACATTCATTGCAATCTATTCGGAACGATTTTACGGCTGAAAATTTCATGTTGAAATTTGTAAATAAATGAAGCGACATTAAGATTTGCAGTGGAATACGTTTTTCAACATTACATTATGTTCATATCAAAACTTGAACTGCATATATATCGGTGAATATTTACAAAACCATGTGTGTATGTTAAGTCTTAGAGTTGAAATCGACCTTTTAATTTATAGTTAAGATATTATAACGGTAAATTTGTAAGCGACATAAAAAATTCTTAATTGGTCATGTTTTTGTAGAATGACTGTTAGTAACCCACATGGCTTGCAAAGATTTCAAGTTAATTTAAACCTTGAAATTCTTAAATTCACTCTACCTTCACTTCTACCGAGCATCCTATCGTGTATGGTGGATTGTTTGTAGGCTGTTGGTGACATATCAAATGCACTAATGACGTTTTCCCGACTCCTGAAACAAGAAAAAAATACTCAGTATTTACTTTCCGAATTTTCTCAGATCTTTAAGCCTTGTCAGCACGTGGTAATGTGACCAAAACTTGATTTCTGTGTACAAAGACTACAAAAACAATGTATAAATCAAGTGATACCTGAATCACCAACAACAACGATCTTAACTTTGTCGATGTTTGCTGCCATCTCATTTTTCAGTCAAATTGACATGTCACGAAGAGAAAATTCTATTTTCACTTTTACTTTCAATTTCAAATTTCATAGCGGGGGCTCACCCACGTAAATATATCAAGTAGGATAAATAATTTGGATGAAAATTATATCAGTATATTTATATTTTAGATTTTCTTCATCGTAAAGTAGATTATTTGAAATGGCTGAATATTGTTCGAATACTTCATGAATTCGGTGTTGATGTAAGCGGCCCTGAAATTATCGACTGCACACAGATGCAGCATCTTTAGCGAAAATGACACTACAAACGCACCCGATTTGTAGATTTCCTGACTGAAAGGTTTGAAGTTTTGTCTACGTATCTTTTTAAATACTTATGCTTAAATCAGGAGATAAAATATGTGCCACATCATAAAATGGTCTTGATAGTGGGCCTTTGTCAGGTAAATCGCTGATAATGAGATGTAGAACATATGTTACATATCTCATGTATCGTATTTCTGTTGTCTTTAATACAAATTACACAAATTTTATAGGCAAGGTAAATGTCTTTTCAATAAGATTGCCTGGATCGTTTCTAAAAAGAAGAATTTTTTTGTTGTTGAAATTATGAATACAAGGGAAACATTCCGATATGGCAGAGATCTTGGTTTCTTTAGCTTTATCATCAGTTTATAAAATTTATTGTGATAGTGTAGTAATTTCCTCACTACAATAGTAAATAAACAATACCATGGCATGATCAAGAAATTTACAAGATGTTTTTCCAATTTTGTTTCCTTGGGGGAAAGCTGAATACCACTGAACTTAGGGGAAGATAGGACCATGCCTATGGTGTTTGCTTAAATTTGATAATTACAGTTGTACCAGGAAAGGAGAAAATTTGTGGCTGAACTGGGAATCAAACCCTGGAGCCCTGCATAAGTAGTCAGGTGCTCTAACCACTGAGCTATATATCCAGTAGTTAGAATAATCTAACTGTGTCTCGGGACAAGCCCTCACCACAGTTAGAATACTTTCCATATACGAGGGGCATTTCAAAAGTTCTGGCAACTGGTGTGCGGTAAATTAATGAGCGTCATTATCATAAATTAAATTATATCAATCCCTCAAAATAGTCTCCGTTGACCTGGACACACTTTTTCAGTCTTGAAATCCATGTGGAAAATGCTGCCTTATGGTCCTCTTTCGGTATACGCTTCATACACTGGAATACGGCACTTCCGACTGCATGACGACTTTCAAATCGCCATCCTCGGAGGGCTTCTTTGATAACGGCATTCAACCAAAAATCGCATGGAGCTAGGTCAGGACTGTAGGGTGGATGTGGTAAAACAGCAATACCATTTTCCTTTAAATATTTGGTTACTACCACTATGGGCAGGTGCGTTGTCATGGAGGAGCTGTATTCCTCTAGTACTGGTTGTTGGTCTGGTCGTTTTATAGTGCTCTACAACCTGAGACAAGACATTCTCTGCATAAAATTGACCAGTAACACTGCTGTGTTCTGGAACCGGAACTTGAGCAACAGGGCCTTTAAAATAAAAAAATAAGGCATACATTACTCTCCGGACAGACCGGTTTCTGCGTGCAATTTGAGGCCTTGTATCATTTTCACCAATCCAAACTTTATTATTGAGCTTAGTTTCCGGTTCAAAAAAATATATCGATGTTTCATCACCAGTTACAATCTCATTTATTCACCTTTGGTCACAATCTTCATAAATTGTTAGAAACTGTGAAGCCATTTCTACCCGGATGCGCTTTTGCTCTTTCGAGAGAAGATGCAGCACCCATCTAGCACAGACTTTCCTAAGCTTTAAGTTTTCCTTTAAAATACGAAAAACTGCTGACGAATTAATGTTAGTTAAGTCTGCTATTTCCTCAACTGTATATCTAGCATCATCAGCTATCATATTTTGAACAGCGACGATTTCTTTTTCGCCATATGCACAAACTGGACGCCCCGAACAGGGGTCATTTTCAATTGATTTTCTACCCTCTTTAAATTGAACTACCCATCTTGCTATTGCTTGATATGAAAGAGCATGCTCTCTATATTCTACATCTAAATGGGCTTTTATTTCTGTTGCCGTAAAGCCGAGCAATGAGCGAATTTTGCAATACGCTCTTTGCTCAACAAAAAAAATTGTTCTCCTTATCAGTCATTTTTACGCCCAGTATACAGAGCATACCTAATTATGACATCATTTTAGCAGACCTATACGTCATTTTGAATGTAAAATACGTCACTAATAATGCATACTTGCCTAAGCTTTAAAGTGGTATCAGGGTCATTTTAATCCGTAACGTAGTTAAAATTTTATATACCAGTTGCCAGAACTTTTGAAATGCCCCTCGTACTTGCAATGTAGCAAATTGGAGTGGATCCACTCCGAAATGATTTTGAAGAAAACAAAAGGAGTTGCACTGAAAATAACTACCAAATTAATCATAAAAAACCTTTTTGAGATTGTATATGCCTTTTGACCTAAAAAATAATCCATATAAATACGAAAATTCAACTCATTTTCTCAACGTTTTTTCTCGCTTCAAATTTAACGCCATGTTGACTGATGATTGTAGTATTACAATTTCAAGTCAGAAATTTGAATGAAATAAATCTCCTACAGATTGACACAAATGTTTTAAGACACAACAGATATCGTTCCGAGATTTCATATATTTTGTATCTACAGATAACTTTCTCTGGGTATGTCAACGTCAAAAGGGCAACATCATCAATTTACACATCACTGATTCGGGCAGAAATCAATTACCATAATTTTTACAACAATTATCTTAAAGTTTTAAACTAAAATCAAATAGAACATCAATAATTGTGTGATTTTAAATTTTACTTTATCCACTGGGTTGAAATGGTGTATAATTGCGAGGCTTTTTTTGTATATCATACAGTCAGCTTCTTCAGAGCAAAGAACTTTTTTCCCTAATTTTTTGTCTCTTTGTAAAAATTGACAGGAAAGTTAGTTGAAGGCAAAGAAAAGTTGGTATAAACAGTAAATCAAAGGAACCATACCTTTGTATATCTCTAAAATGATTTAAAATGCTTGTGTTATAGTGCTTGCACTCTGTGCACTAAAAGTATTAATTTCACACGTTGATACTTGTGTACATTAAAAGTTTATTGAATCTTAGTCTTAAAGTAACATTGTTTGTTTTGTTTTTGATTTTCCAGAAATAATAGTAAAGTTTCCAGTATGTGACCAAATACATTGAGAAAACACTGCAATGGAGGACATCCTGTCCCGGATAATCAGGGATTCTTCTTCTGTTAAATACACAAACATAAAGAGCAGAGCTTCTGATGCCCGGGAATTGTTACAAAACAAAGGTCTGTTAGAGGTGACCCCAGCTCATGTCTTACGGGAAAAATGTCTGGAACCCCTACAGTTAGCGCTGGAATCCAAAAATAAAAAACTGGCAACAGAAGCTATTGACGGAATACAGGTATGCATGAAATATCAGTACAAATAAACTCTTTAAAATGCAGGTAAAAACTAGTGCTGTACGTGTAAGCATTATATGATACAGATAAACACTACATGATGCAGGTAAACAATACATAATACAGGTTATCACTGAATAATAATACATGTAAACACTACATAACACACAGATAAACACTTCATAACACAGATAAACACTATTTGATACAGGTAAACATATACACTACATACTATGTACATACTACATAATACAGGTTCATGTTCCATGAAATTCCAGTAAACACTACATAATACAGACTACATAATACAAATAAACACTACATGATTTAGGTAAACAGTAATCAATACAGGTAAACCTATATAATACATGTGAACACCACATATTACAGGTTTATATTCCATGGAATACATGTAAAACCTCTTAATACAGTTAGGCACCATAGAATTCAGATATAAAGATAAACCACAGAAAACATGTACATACATGTAGGTAAATTTTTACTTGAATTTGCTTCCTTATCATGCTTATTTAGAAAATTCAAATCACAAAAATGTCAAGAATTTCTTTAAATAGTCTTGCAAAACTCAAAAAGAAATTTATCAAAATAATGAATTAAGAAATGTCTCTGAATAAAAAAACTTTCTTAATTTCAATTAGTTACCATTAGGATATGAGATCTTGATAATGCTTACAGGTGATATTTGGAGATGATCGGTTTCAGTCCAGTATTGAGTGTGAGGGAGAGGAGAGGTGGATGCCAATACAGATCCTCAACACTGTGTTGTGTACCCCCTCCTTACCTGAAGACACACAGATGGATATAATGAAGGTATAAACTAGATATAAGGACTACGGACAAAACGTAATAATTCTTCAAATTTTATTTTAGAATTTTTTAAAATCAATGTATTAGATACTTATCTTTTAACAATGAGAAATATGTGTAATTTTTATCTTTATAGCTTCTGTTGAATATGACATTTTCTACATCTTGGTGCATGAATGCAAAAGTCATCACAAAAATAACACAGGTAGGTGTTGACAATATCTGCATGCTGGGGAAGTGGTAGGGCTAGAAAAATACCCATGTATGGGGGAGTCAGCCAGAAAATGCTTTACCTCTGTGGGGCACTATAAGTTTGTTTCCCTATTTTACAATCTGTTTATTTTTTAAAATCTTTCTGGAAAATTTTTTAGTTTTATTCAATAGAATAGTAATTATTTGGATAAAGTTGCTATGAAAAATAAATAAAGTTTAAAATTTATGTTGATACCTATGCATTGTCTTTTTTGCATTTTTAAAAGAAGAGATTATTATTGCACCACCCCCTTATGTTTGGGTGATGGTTTGTTTACCAGTAGTTATGGTAGGGAGCCTCTTGTTTTTAGGTCTATATAGATACCTACATGACAAGCACTCATAATGTTAGGGGTACAGTGAAGGCAGCTCTCACCCAGCTTCTAACCAGCTTCACAGACAAACTGCAATCTGCTGACAGCAGAGGGGTAAGACAAGGAAACTCACTTTAGCCTATGCTTTTTATGTTGATACTGTGGAAATCTAAAGTATTTTGTGTTTCACTATTATTATGTAGTTTACAAGTGCCTTAAGCTTTTCTGATGGTATTTAAGAATACAATTCACTGAGTCATACAGAGATATATTGTTTAGATACATATACATTTATACAAAGAATTTTGAAAAAAAAATGTTTAAAAACATGTACTTATTATTAATATGCTTGCTTGACTTGCTTGACTTATTGTTAACTCACATAAGCTAGAGGGAGTTTCTATGTCATGAAAATGTTTGCATGTAGATTTGAAATGCAAGTTTGCTTGATAAATGAATACAGTTTTTTATGGGCAGATTGTGTTATTATTGTTGTTACGTACATTACATGACTACATGTATTTCTAATTGCTGCTTTACTTTAGCAAGGAGATGATGGTGATGTTCTTGCTGACTTCAATCCCAGAGGTAAGTATACTGTCCTAAAAATCAAACTTATAAAGAAGTTTAGAACAATTGATTAATGAAAAAATATTTATGTTGCTGTACAACTTGTAGACAATTATATAAGAGACAAGTACTTTAAATTCTATGAACCTGTGTATGTGTTTAGGGAACACGGATAAGGATGGACTGACCACAGACACTATCAACATTCTACAGTTCTTCACCAATAAATTAGAGGAGGCATTAGGGTAAGTCAGTCTTATCAGCTTTTACTTAATAAAAGAGCATTCCTTGTTTGAAATGGAATCTATAAGTATGTGATGATTTGATTGCAGCAGTCAGACCAGAGTATCAGTTCCCTTGTTGTTAGAGGGAGTACTGACAATCCTCTCAAACTGCCCCAGAGAAATCAACTCCAATGAGCTCTTTCAAGAAATCATATGGTGAGATGTTTAACATAGCAGTATTCTGTGTAAATTTATGATTTTAGTTGAAGATTTATATAAAGAATAAAGAGATACTGCTATAATCTATAGTATGGACATGATTGTATTTTACTTTTCTAGGAAGAGTCTTTGTCCTTGTTTGATCTCATTGTTGGGTTCTCCAAAGTCTGAGAAGACAGTGTTTAGTCAGAAAACACCACATAAAGAAGATATAGGGCGAGGGTCAGGGTGTTCCATGTCAGCCCCGAATCTACAGGCAACCACAGCTAAAACTGTCTATAGGTAAACTATCTATACACACAGCCACAGCTAAAACTGTCTATAGGTAAACTATCTACAGACAGCCACAGCTAAAACTATCTATAGGTAAACTATCTATACAGACAGCCACAGCTAAAACTATCTAGAGGTAATCTATCTACAGAGAGCCACAGCTAAAACTATCTTTAGGTAAACTATCTACCAGCAACCACAGCTAAAACTGTCTATAGGTAAACTATCTACAGACAACCACAGCTAAAACTTTCTATAGGTAATCTATCTACCGGCAACCACAGCTAAAACTGTTATTAAGTAAACTATTTACAGACAAGCCCAGCTAAAACTGTCTATAGGTAAACTATTTACAGACAACCACAGCTAAAACTGTCTATAGGTAAACTATCTACAGACAACCACAGCTAAAACTGTCTATAGGTAAAATATCTATAGACAACCACAGCTAAAACTATCTATAGGTAAACTATCTAGAGGCAACCATAGCTAAAACTTTCTATAGGTAAATTATCTACTGATAGCCACAGAGAGGATGAAATCTCTAGCTATTGTAGACTATCTTTTTGTATGTCAGTTCTGTTTTCAAATCAGTTTTGGCAATGATTATTTCTATGTTTTATTTGAAGTCTTGCTTGAGATATTTTGCTTTAAGCTTATTATGTAAGGATGAAAACAGTGTTTGTATAATTCCAGTATTGCAGTTTCCCTGGTGGAGTTGATGGGTACTATTGGTACCATGAGACCTGTTCTGGAGTCGCTGTTCCATAGAATGCTGTTGTATTCACCTCCCCAACATAGACTGGATGCCCTGAAAGCTGTCAGAGAAGTAAATCCTTGTGTCTTTGTCATGTTTATAGGTATAATTGTATTACCTCTGAGAAACAATGTAAAACTTATTCCATGGTGTAAGTATGAGAAAGACTACATAAAACACCTGTTCTACTCTTTTGAGTTGATAATAAATGCTAGGTTTTGGCTTTGATATTTTTAAAAAATGGACTATATCATGTGATTTCAGCTGCTTAAAACTCCAGAGAACCTGTATAACTTAGCAGCCCCAGCCATAGAACCTGTACACAGGGAAAAGGGAGCCAAAAATCCCAATGCAGACATTTCTCTTCTCAAACTGTGAGTACTTATCCCTTGTTTAATTTTACAGGAATTGAATAAAGGGACATCATTTATCCTAGACTAAATAGTCTTTCCTTATTTAAGGCTTTTTGGATTCTCTAAGTCTTCATTAGTACAATAGTTTCTCTATAGATGCAACTGCAAGAATAAACAGACACACAAGTAGACTTGAACAGGGAGTTTGTATTAACTTGACAATATATAGTCTGTGTATGGTTGTGGACTTGTTAATGGAGTTTTATCATTTTAATATCTTGTATTTCTATGTAGGATTGTGGCTAATGATTTGATTTCTGTGTAGGATTGTGGACTCACTAAGTACTTGTATATCTGTGTAGGATTGTGGACTCACTAAGTACTTGTATATCTGTAAAGAATTGTGGACTCACTAAGTAGTTGTATTTCTGTGTAGGATTGAGGACTCACTAAGTACTTGTATATCTGTGTAGGATTGTGGACTCACTAAGTACTTGTATTTCTGTGTAGGATTGTGGACTCACTAAGTACTTGTATATTTGTGTAGGATTGTGGACTCACTAAGTACTTGTATTTCTGTGTAGGATTGTGGACTCACTAAGTACTTTTATATTTGTGTAGGATTGTGGACTCACTAAGTACTTGTATTTCTGTGTAGGATTGTGGACTCACTAAGTACTTTTATATTTGTGTAGGATTGTGGACTCACTAAGTACTTGTATTTCTATATAGGATTTTGGAATCATTAAGTACTTGTATATCTGTGTAGGATTGTGGACTCACTAAGTACTTGTATTTCTGTGTAGAATTGTGGACTCACTAAGTACAGTGGCTGCAACGTTATTGTTGACAACTTACACAAACGATCACATTACACGAACGATTCTGCAGGATTAACGCAGGATAAAATCTGTTACACAAACGATCCTTCACGCACATGATTCTACATGTTACACGATGTTGCACGATTCTTCATTTGAAAAATGAGACAAAAATAGAAATGGATATTTCTGGAACTAAATACATGTAAGGCTTATTAATTATTTTAGATTACAAATCGACTTAAGAAAACTGATTTTTTTTTGTTCTATCAGAAGATGTACATGTAGGTGGACCGTGAGTTTTAATTGAATTGGATTTCATAATATGCAGAAAGTGATAAGTTTGAAAAAAAAAAAATGGCATGAAAATGAATTAAATTATAAGTTATATCCATGTTTCCAGTTGTGAATCTCTAAAGTCAACAATTATTTTACAAATCATTTATTTGCAGAAATTATAAAAATAATTAAAAGTAAGCTCCAGAGATAAACACTGATAAACGAAACCCCGACAATCATGTTGTGTGCATGTACATTCGCCGACTAAATATTTATGTAATCATTGAGAATTGTTTATTTATTTATTTGTAAAAATATCTATTTTTGATATATTGATTTTAAAAATATCTTGACCATAATCAGCAGTAAACATAATTAACATCAGAGAAAAAAATCCGTAAACATCTAAGTACGGTTTATCACAAAAAATCAAGCAAATTGACAAGAACTCAATATTGTACGACTTACCTTATTGCTTATTTCCAAGCGATAATTAGTTTGTTCTGCTTTCAATTATGTAAATCGCGCTTCATTTATCTGGATTGAAAAAAAAAACAGACAAGCGAAATGCTTGTGTAACAAATAACATTCCGATAAAAACTTACAAAACGAAATTTCAACATTTCTTAACTCACGATCACGCACATTAAAACTGCAAACGATTGAGTCTGATACGCGCTTGCATGTTACACGAATGATCACACACATTACATGAACGATTCTACACGATTGGTCTAAGTACTTGTATTTCTGTATAGGATTGTGGACTCATTAAGTACTTGTAATTCTGTGTAGGATTGTGGACTCGCTAAGTACTTGTATATCTGTATAGGATTGTGGACTCACTTAGTACTTGTATATCTGTGTAGGATTGTGGACTCACTAAGTACTTGTATATCTGTGTAGGATTGTGGACTAACTAAGTACTTGTGTATCTGTGTAGGATTGTGGACTCACTAAGTACTTGTATATTTGTGTTGGATTGAGGACTCACTAAGTACTTGTATATCTGTGTAGGATTGTGGACTCACTAAGTACTTGTATATCTGTGTAGGATTGTGGACTCACTAAGTACTTGTATATTTGTGTTGGATTGTGCACTCACTAAGTACTTGTATATCTGTGTAGGATTGTGGACTCACTAAGTATTTGTATATCTGTGTAGGATTGTGGACTCTCTAAGTACTTGTATTTCTGTATGGGATTGTGGACTCACTAAGTACTTGTATATCTGTGTAGGATTGAGGACTCACTAAGTACTTGTATATCTGTGTAGGATTGTGGACTCACTAAGTATTTGTATATCTGTGTAGGATTGTGGACTCTCTAAGTAGTTGTATTTCTGTGTAGGATTGTGGACTCATTAAGTACTTGTAATTCTGTGTAGGACTGTGGACTCACTAAGTACTTGTATATCTGTGTAGGATTGTGGACTAACTAAGTACTTGTGTATCTGTGTAGGATTGTGGACTCACTAAGTACTTGTATATTTGTGTTGGATTGAGGACTCACTAAGTACTTGTATATCTGTGTAGGATTGTGGACTCACTAAGTACTTGTATATCTGTGTAGGATTGTGGACTCACTAAGTACTTGTATATTTGTGTTGGATTGTGCACTCACTAAGTACTTGTATATCTGTGTAGGATTGTGGACTCACTAAGTATTTGTATATCTGTGTAGGATTGTGGACTCTCTAAGTACTTGTATTTCTGTATGGGATTGTGGACTCACTAAGTACTTGTATATCTGTGTAGGATTGAGGACTCACTAAGTACTTGTATATCTGTGTAGGATTGTGGACTCACTAAGTATTTGTATATCTGTGTAGGATTGTGGACTCTCTAAGTACTTGTATTTCTGTGTAGGATTGTGGACTCATTAAGTACTTGTAATTCTGTGTAGGACTGTGGACTCACTAAGTAGTTGTATTTCTGTGTAGGATTGTGGACTCACTAAGTACTTGTAATTCTGTGTAGGATTGTGGACTCACTAAGTACTTGTATTTCTGTGTAGGATTGTGGACTCACTAAGTACTTGTATTTCTGTGTAGGATTGTTGACTCGCTAGAAGAGTGTTGTAATTGTAATGACCTGGCAGTCTGTGTTACCAGTGTTACCTGTGTGGAGGAGATGCTGGGAGCCCTTGAACTGACCTGTAAGGGAGAGGGTATCACCCCCAACCTCCAAAGAAGCATGGCCAAATTCTACAGAACCCTCTCAGAAACAAGTAAGATGAAGGGGAGGGTATCATATCATATATATGAGATAAAGGGTAGAGTATCATCTTTGATCTTAATTGACCAAGATTTACCAGATTCTCTGTGAAAAGGGTGAGATAAAAAAGTAAGATACATGTGAGTACACAATCTGTATAGAGTAATTTATATTTATTTTCTCTGGTTGAACAGTCTGTGATTGGTATTTTTGATGTCCATATATTTACATTTCCAATGTCTTTGTCCGAGATAAAATTACAAATTGTAAAAATACTTTATTTCTACATAAATCTACTGGTTCATCGATAGGCGCGGTTAAAAAAAATCACGTGTGGGGCGGGACAAATAGAGACAGAAGCGGGGCTATTAGCACGGGAATTTGCAGAATCAGGAGAATGTAAATATAAGGAATAACTGTCAGATTTTTTGGATTCATGACGATGATCAATGGATTGGCTTGCGTGATAATTTTATGCATAAACGCCTTCGACGTTTATGCAAATTATCACGCAAGCCACTTGATTGATCACATCATGAATCAAAAAAATTAGACAGTTATTCCTTAAATACATGTATATAGTAAGTCCTAGATGTTCAGAGCATGGGGAGGAATTCATTTAAATCATCAAAATATCCCATAGTACAAGGTTTTAAAATAAAAATTCTGTTTTATATTATTCTATAACACCCTTAATCCTGCAGACTCATCATAACATTTGTTTAGTATGTGTGACTGGTATGTGATGTATAGAGCTCAAAGAAATATTTTAAATTTTCTGTCTAAACCACTGGGATAGAATATTGTAAGGAATAGATCTCAAGGAGTAAGAAATGAACTATGTCCCCTGTGTATATTTTTCTACCTTAGGTGTGTCCTGTCACAGCAGTGTTTCCTCTTGTTGCCAGGAAACTGATGGAGAAACTGACATCCAAGAGATTGATGTATTCCAAAAGAACAACTTGGAGAAAAAAGAAAGTCAAGGGATCATCAAGGGAGATCACTCCAACACAGAATATAGAATCAGGGAGGAAATCAAGAAACAGTACAACAGATTAGGGAGGAATATGGAGGAACTGGAGAAACAGAACGCCCAGGAGTTTGTAAGGAAACTGGAGATGTTTGTACCGAGGCTGGAACAGATGTTAGAAGTGACAGAAGTTGATGAAGCACTGCAGCAGTTTGCTGCTGAGTTCTGTACAGGTGAGAATGTTAATGCTGTACAGGTGAGAGTTCTGTACAGGTGAGAATATTAATGCTGTACAGGTGAGAGTTCTGTACAGGTGAGAATGTTAATGCTGTACAGGTGAGAGTTCTGTACAGGTGAGAATATTAATGCTGTACAGGTGAGAGTTCTGTACAAGTGAGACTTCTATACAGGTACTGTACAGGTAAGAGTTTTGTACAGGTGAGAGTTCTGTACAGGTGAGAGTTCTATAGAGGTGAGAGTTCTATAGAGGTGAGAGTTCTGTACAGGTGAGAGTTCTGTACAGGTGAGAGTTCTGTACAGGTGAGAGTTGTGTAGAGGTGAGAGTTCTGTACAGGTGAGAGGTCTGTACAGTTGAGAGTTCTATATAGGTGAGAGTTCTATAGAGGTGAGAGTTCTGTACAGATGAGAGTTCTTTAGAGGTGAGAGTTCTCAGACTGTACAGGTGAGAGTTCTGTACAGGTGAGAGTTCTGTACAGATGAGAGTTCTTTAAAGGTGAGAGTTCTGTACAGGTGAGAGTTCTATAGAGGTGAGAGTTCTATAGAGGTGAGAGTTCTGTACAGATGAGAGTTCTATAGAGGTGAGAGTTCTGTACACTGACAGGTGAGAGTTCTATAGAGGTGAGAGTTCTATACAGGTGAGAGTTCTATAGAGGTGAGAGTTCTGTACAGGTGAGAGTTCTGTACAGATTTTTGTTGAGGTGAGAGTTCTGTACAGGTGAGAGTTCTGTACAGGTGAGAGGTGTACAGGTGTGAGTTCTATAGAGGTGGATTCTATAGAGGTGAGAATTCTGTACAGGTGAGAGTTCTGTACAGGTGAGAGTTCTATAGAGGTGGGAGTTCTGTACAGGTGAGAGTTCTGTACAGGTGAGAGATCTATCAAGGTGAGAGTTCTTTAGAGGTGAGAGTTCTGCACAGGTGAGAGGATTAATATATTATCTTTATGTTGTAACAAAATGAGATAATGATGATATGTTTGAATCTAATATAATAGTTTAATTAATTTAGGTTCAAATTTTAATGATCATTTACTGAGAAATTAGGAGCAGCATTACAATAATACATGTATAAGACTCAAATTTATATCAAGATTGTTATTTGATGTTTTATAGTAACTCAGAGTTGATACTGAAGTGGTTATTTTCCAGCATTATATGATACTCAGTCACAAAGTGAAAGTGAAAGTCACATGGCCATCCTGAATGCTGATGGAGTGTATGTAGCCAGTGTTAGTTCATTACATTTATGTTTACAACTGTCTACGTCAGGATACTACAACAGGACAGGCTGTTCAAGTATTACAGAGGTCAATATAACTATAAAAGGAGTAAACCATAAAAGAGAAATTATGTATTATACATTTTCAACTGTGAAATAATGTTAATTTAGTCCTTGAATAAAATGATTTTTCACAAGACAGAATTTCACTGTGAAAATACAAAAACTGTGGCAGAATTCAAGACTTTCCTGCCCTTTATGAAGAGTGTTACAAAGAATAAATTCCCTATAGATAGTGAGCTAAGTAAATAAATCATCCTGACACCGACTAAAACTGCCAAGGTTTCCACAAATTGTTGCTAAAATCCATGTTTACAATTTTCAGTCTCACAATCTCCTCGCTAAAATGTCTCACAACTGCTCAGCTGTGACATCACGAAATGACAGCAAAAGAAAAACCAAAAAATTGTAACAAACAGAAAATTCAATGTTTTTTTAGTTGGATGTGGAATTTATTTCACTTCTGGGACAGGACTTTTGCATCACACTTCTGAAAATATGAAAAAAAAAAAAATCCTGTAACACTTGTGCAATAAACTGCATACTCAACAACAATACATTTAATGCCATATATTGTAGAAGGATTTTGTGGACTCTGTGTTGGGGTGTGGACTGTTACTCTTCCTTTCTCCGGCCTGGCTAAGAGAAGTCTACCATCAGCTGACTAGGAGAAACCTTTTACAGAATGTATCAACGACTTCAACATCACCCCTCATCAACTTCCTCAAAGGTAAGTAGTGTCTTAATCAACATACAGTAAATCACCCTTCATCAACTCAATCAAGGGTTAGTGTCCTAAATCCACATTTAGTAAATTACCCCTGATTAGTGTAAGTGATACGGGAGGGTAAGTGTCCTACTGTATTGAATGATGTTTGTCTTAGATCAAATATCATGTTCATTTGGTTATTTGCTTGTTTTATTAATTCGCAAAGTGTGTAAATCATGTAACATGCAAATACAATGACCTTATCAGCTAGTGGTGTTCCAATCAGCGATTAAAATCGAAAATCAGTCAATTCAAGCGTTCGATTACAAAATTTTTATTCCAATTAATTGAATTATTTTTTTTTATTTTACAAGCGCAATAGGTTTTAAGCCAAATATACCAGCCATGACTTGTCTATTAACTTATTTGTGTATCATAATGGTGCAAATGAACAGACATTATAGTTATACCCGGGTAACAACGCTCATTCCCGGGATGGACATACTTTGGATTCTACAAAATGAAGGAAGAACCAACTGGACTAGATAAAATGTTCTATTGTTTAAATGATATTGTCCTACGGACTAGGACTAGGGCTTGTCCCAAGACAGTTAGATTATTCTAACTACAGCTGGTCCACCACAGAAAGTAGTTATTCACCCATTCTTACCATTTAATAAACTAAGTCGACAGACTTTGTAAATGTCCGATTATAATTGATAATTATTTAGTTACAGTAGCCCAATCATCTATTATGAAATTCTTACTGATTCCCATCACTATTATCAGCAAATGCAATCTATCATAAGGTCAAATGCTGACTGACATGTTTCATTTGAATTGTTAGGCGATTATTTACACATTGAAATTTCTAAGGATTTTTCTGTTTACCCAATAATGACAAGGAGCACATAGGTCGATGGGGATGCTCACTCCTCCATGGCACCTGATCCCACCTCTGATGTTTTTGGAGGTCCGTGTTTGCTCTGCTCCCAATTTGTATCGTGCAATGGAGTATTAGCTTGGGTGCTTTATCTCCTTATTTTATGAAGCAAGCATTACATCTATGCTTCTTTTAAGAACAACTGGTGCACCTGACTTCTAAATTCTTTCTGATACAAGGACAAATATTTGTTCTGTAGACATAGATGGTCTTGGGAATCATGAGAAGGGAGGCCAGTTCCTCAGCAGCTTTTCATCTGTACAAACAGAGGATGAAATAGATAACAAAGACAGCCTCATCAAATCAGGTCAGTACAGAATATACACCTAGTACAGTCAGATCAGGTTAGTACAGAGTACACACCTGGTACAGTCAAATCAGGTCAGTACAGCATACACATCAGGTACAGTCAAATCAGGTCAGTACAGAATACCCATCAGGTACAGTCAAATCAGGTCTGTACATAATATACATCAGGTACAGTCAAATCAGGTCTGTACATAATATGCACCAGGTACAGTCAAATCAGGTCGGTACAGAATATACACCAGGTACAGTCAAATCAGGTCAGTACAGAATATACACCAGGTATAGTCAAATCAGGTCAGTACATAATATACACCTAGTACAGTCAAATCAGGTCAGTACAGAGTACACACCTAGTACAGTCAAATCAGGTCAGTACAGAGTACACACCAGGTACAGTCAAATCAGGTCAGTACAGAATATACACCTAGTACAGTCAAATCAGGTCAGTACAGAGTACACACCATGTACAGTCAAAACAAGTCAGTACAGAGTACACATCAGGTACAGTCAAATCAGGTCAGTACAGAGTACACATCAGGTACAGTCAGATCAGGTCAATACAGAGTACACACCAGGTACAGTCAAATCAGGTCAGTACATAATATACACCTAGTACAGTCAGATCAGGTCAGTACAGAGTACACACCAGGTACAGTCAAATAAGATCAGTACAGAGTACACACCAGGTACAGTCAAATCAGGTCAGTACAGAATGCACACCTAGTACAGTCAAATCAGGTCAGTACAGAGTACACACCAGGTACAGTCAAATCAGGTCAATACAGAGTACACACCTAGTACAATCAAATCAGGTCAGTAGAATATATACCAGGTCAAATCAGGTTTGTACAGAATATACACCAGGTACAGTTAAATCAGGTCAGTACAAAATACATGCCAAGTACTTGATTTTCTTCAAGGTGTACAATATACAGTGTCTTTGTTGTACATATACTTTTAGTTTGTGTTTTGCAAAGATGTTGACCTTAATTTTGTTGTTATACATGAAAATGAAATTAAACTCTTATAAAGGTAGACCATTCATTACTATTATCCTCCAAGATTATGTGTAGGTACATGTAAATTAGGATGCGATATTTTGAATACCACATAGTATGCTACCTATATGTAACTTCTGCCTGAATACCACATAGTATGCTACCTATATATAACTTCTGCCTTTAGAAAGGTTATTGATTTTCCAGGTACAGTCAAACCTTGTTATCTTGAACTCAATGGGACCGAGATAAAACTTCGAGATATCCGAGGGTTCGAGATATCGAGGGTAAAATACTTAAGAAATACGTGGACTTCTCAATCACTTCGACATGTCCATGGTATTTGAGATATCCATGTTCGAGATACCAAAGTCTCATTTCTATGTTTTTGTTTAGGTAATTTAAGACAGATAAGCTCAATCGTGATTTTACTTTATCAGATTTGGGTAATTATACTGGTTTACTGTTGACAGGGAGAATGTTTGCACGCCATGTCTTGTCTAAGTGCTGGGACAGTATCCTAGATGTTCTGTCAGTACTACTTAACGGGAAATCATCTTGTGGGATCTCTAGCAGCCTGGGACTACTCCTGGGGACAGAGGGAGCCAAGGAAGAGAGCCTGAGGGCAAGGGAAGCCATCTGTACCAGTCTTAATGGACTACAGAGGGCAGCAAAGCTCTGCTGTGCACTGGGTAAGGACTAGTGTATTATGTGACATGTTATTTACACTAGGTAAGGACTAGTGTAGATATCTGACTTCTTATTTACACTAAGTAAAGACTAGTATAGTATCTGATATCTTATTTACACTAGAAAAGGACTAGTTTAGATCTGACATCTTACTTCCAATTTGTTATACCCTTATAAATATCTTTCTCTATATTTATTACAAATAAAAAGTCCAACAAAGTAAATCTTTTTTTCATCGGTCTAACTATTTCATTGTTGACTGGTCTCTCAGTCCAACATAAGAATTGTTAGACCGCAACGTCACTGCTACGTCACATACAATTAGTCATCATTCAATATTGGTGACATGGAAATAGCTGATTCGAAGTTTCAAGAGTTACCACGTATGCTATTTCAAAGATGGCTCAAGGGAAAAATAATGTTTTGTGATAAATAATTTCTGTGTTATAATAATTTAATGATTTTTTTTTTTCATTCTTTGTTGTTGTCCTTTTTATTCAAAAAGCCAAAATATTACTTATAAAAAAATTGTTTAATTATATGAGTAAATCTGTTTAAAGGTTTTAATTTTAGTGTTCTTAAGTGAAGGGTATAACAAAACAGTTATAAACTGGGATTTGGGCAACATATGATTTGTTGGACCTGAAGGTGAAAAATGTTGCCCTTGGCATGCGGCCTCGGGCAACATTTTCACCTTCAGGTCCAACAAGTCATATGTTGCCCTCATACCCAGTCAATAACTGTATAATGTGTGTCTTGCATAAAACTATTCCTACTTTTGTCTTCATCTTTAGATCACTACATCAATTTTAGTAAAACTTTACTATACTTGGATGAAGGACGTTCACGTTTATTAAAAAAAACGAAAACTAAGAATGTATGAAAGCTTCCTGTTTGAGTATAGAAATAATTGACTCTGGTGCTTGGGTGAGGCAACCAAAGGGGGTCAAAGTTCAATTGGGAGGATATATAGAAGAATTCTCCTTAATAAAAATACATGTAGCAGGACCATAGTCAATGAAAGTGGTATGCAAGCCCAACCAGATGGTCTTAGGATAGGGCCACAGTCAGGAGTTATCAGTAACAGAATTTGCTGTTAGAACACAAAGATATTTTTCTCAAAACTTTTTTAATGTGTATGTCATTACATAGAATTACTTAATATCAGCATTAATTTCTGTGATCTCTACCAGGTTTACAGGAGTATTGTGGGGCTGTGTTTTGTCAGTTGGCCAGTACGTCCTGTGTCACTCTGGACACACAGAGAAGTCCTGTCCTAGAACGGAAGTCTCTCAACAAACCTACATCACACAAACCAAAACTTGTCAAGCTTCATGCATCTCATGTCCTGAGTATGGATGTTGTCATGACGACAGGGCTAGAGATGGGAAGCCACTCTGCTGATTGCTGGAAACATTTGTTCAGGTACGAAGCAACATATTACCAAGGTAACCATAAAATGCACAACCATGACCAAGAAAACTTTTATTAGATCAAGTTGACTTTATATATATATATATATCTAAAGTCTACCTGTTTGTACATATTAATGCAGATTTTGTGCAAAGTCAAGTGGGATGGTTGTTTCTGTTATTTTAAGGTTGAATTTTTGTTGTAGATGCTGTGCTTTTATATCTGAGTTGGAGCACACTTACTTCAGTATGGGTAACAACCATTCCAATCTCCCCAAACTACAACAGGAGACAGCAGTAGATTCTGAGAATCAAGAAAACATGTAAGACTGTGTACAGCTGGGATTATTTACATTTATTATATACATGCCTTGTGAATCAGAAATATCTACGATTTTATAAACCTGTATTTTTGCAGTAATTACATAGATGAACCAGAGTTGTACAGCATGTCCACCACTGCAGCGGTGCCAGTAGCACCACGGATTAACATCACAGAGCTGATCAGACAGAGTGGGATTGAGTCTGGGTGGGAGAGGTCAATCACGGGGGGAGGTGTACTGAATGCTGCCCAGTCCTCAAAGGCTCTGTGTGGGCTCTCTCAGGAAGTGGACAGGTAATAAATCTGCCAAATCCTCAAAAGCTCATTGAGCGCTCTCTCAGGAAGTGGACAGGTAATAAAACTGCCCAGCCCTCAAAGGCTATGTGTGGGCTCTCTCAGGAAGTGGACAGGTAATAAATCTGCCAAATCCTCAAAAGCTCATTGAGCGCTCTCCAAGGAAGTGGATAAGTAATGAAACTGCCCAGCCCTCAAAGGCTTTGTGTGGTCTGTCTCAGAAAATTGATAGGTACCGGTAATGAAACTGCCAACTCCTTAAAAACTCTTTGTAAGCTCACTAGGAAGAAGATAAGTAAATTGTCTTGGCCAGTCCCCTTCATTGTGTGCTATCTGGAGAACTTGACTTTTAATTATATGACTTAACATGAATAGGTTAATTTTTTCCCCTAACAAATGCATATGTTGAAAAGTACATATACACTGTTACAGTAGAAATTTCATACCATTTAATGTTTTAATGAAATTTTTATATTTTAAATGTCAGACTGTTTGAGGAGGCAGCCAATCAGCTGAATCTACAGGCTCTGCTGGACTTCCTGTCTGAGCTGTGTGATTCCAGTCAGCACCAGCTGTTCAGCCTGACACAGCAGGTGCCCTGGGAGGGAGGGTCCAGGGAGTCACAGTTACCCCCAAATTCCCTCCATTTGTATCGTCTTCAAGAGGTGCTGATGAAGGTCGTACATAGTGACCGCCCCCTACTTCACCTCATGAGGACTTGGAGTGTTGTATCTCCACATCTGGTTGAGGTTTGCAAGATTTTTTTTCACATTCCTCCACTTTTTTTAATGAATTGTTTTGTTGATAACAAGAAAGTAAAATTAACAAATGTTCAATATTCTGGAGTATCTTGAAGATTCATTTTCTAATAATTTCTTAAAATAAAACTTTTCCTGAAAGATGACAGGTAGAATTAGGTCCTACTGAAGACTGAACTTAATACCATTTTTCTGTAGTCGGCCGGTCACAAGGACAGGATTGTGTCCAAAATGGCAGTGACTTGTGTCCATGACTTTATTTTGGCCATGCTGAGTGACCGCCCAGAATTGGCCTACTTCCACGTCAATGAGCTGCTTTGTAAGCCATTTGAGAACATGTTATGCCTTGAAGTCTGTGATGGGGATGTACAGGACCAGGTATGATTACTTTGATTTAGCATCTTTGTAAAGGAAAAGTTTGAATGGGTTATACATGTATATACAGTTGTCTTATACACAGGAAGTCCCTGAAAGAGATGTAATTTTGTTAATACCTGTAATTACCTGTTGTCAGTTGACACATTCTGAACAGTAAAAGATCAGACAATTTGCTTTTTGTAGATTGTGACATGATACGTTGTTCTATGTAGATTTATGCTCTATCTAGGTATACATATTTATATCATTTTGTTGTATCTATGTAGTATCTGTGCTCTATCTATGTAGACAGGGTGCAACATACTTGCCAACCTCCAGCATGTAATAGAGGGTCATGGCCCTCTTTGGAAAGTAAAAAAATTTGATCATAATGCGTAACGATATTCAGAATGTATTCACCATGGTTATATAATATTTCATATTGCATATATATACAATATTAAGCATTTGTGTATTCAGAATTATTTTTTTGAAAAGAAGTTTTGAAACTTAAAATGGCAAAAATTTGAATATTTCATGAATTTAATTTATTGATGTGATAATAGGGCATTGAAGGTTTCATTTCAAAGTATTGACCTGAAGTAATTGTAAATTTTTCTTTTTAAATACTGAAAGCCCTTTCAGTATCTGCATCTCTGTTTGGAAGAACAAGAGAAATTTGAGCTAATTTTAAAAGTATTCAAATAAGGGACCATTAAACATCCCTGTTCAAATCTTGATTTTGAAGATAATTTTTATCTCCAGATTTATACATAATAAACAATTAAGATAATTCACAAGTCGGGATAGTTTTGGTTTGCTCAGCAAAAATCGAGTGAAAAGCATGACCACCGTGTCATAAAAATTGGGTTATGGGTCGAAAAATCGGGTGTAACGTGACGAAATAGGTTGGCAACTATGGGGCTCAACATTAACTAAAATATCCACTTGTCCATCGGACTAGTTGCCAACAAATTTTACTTGGCAGTTTGCTTACTTGTCCAACTCTGACTCAAATATGAAAAAAGTGGGGGGAAAATTCACGAATGAAATAGTTATGAAAAATTTTGACTTACAAAGATTTGTTTAATTATTAAATGATATAAAATACAGTAACACAGTCTGTAACCTCTTCTTTAACAACATCAAGTGAGGTGTGAATTAAAGGCCTTACTTCAGTTTTGCATTTTGTTATAGAGTGAATTAAGCTGGGATTTTGCTTTCATTTTTATAATATTTTGTAATGGTAAAAAAAAGAACTTGTCCAATCGGACAAGAGTGTCTTTAGATTGACTTGTCAGATCACAAAATGAACTGGACATTCAGGGACAATCGGACAAACATTAATGTTGAGCCTTGGTAGATCATGTGCTCTATCTGTATCATTTTTTTCTATCTTTGTAGATTGTATGCTCTATCTGTGAGTTAGTGGAGGCCTGTACAGCTGACATTAAGTCTGGTTGGCGACCATTGTTTGGAGCTTTACGAGCTGTGAAGATCGAGTACACAACTAACGAGGAAGTTAACGATGCTAGGCAGAGACATGTGGCTGCGGTGCTGGACGTATTCGAGGTCTACCTTAGTACAGATAATGTCCTGGTGTTTGCCAACGCGACAGTAGATTGTATTCTGTGTCTTCTCAAGTACATCAGGGGACCAGGTTTGTAATAAAGAATAACATATTTTCTTGGATAAACATTTATTACAGACACAGATTGTGAATTCTGGAATTGAATTGAATTTAAATATTTATTCATCCAGTACTAGAAAATTTTTTAAAATAAATGATTAATTTTTTATTATGAATTATAGCAGATAAAATGGAGTAATTTCAGACATCCCTGGCAATTCATTGTATCTGTGTTGAACTATATAACTATAATGTAAATGAGAAAAAAATTATACAGTACTGCAGATTTCTTTTAGAATTATCAATTTTGTATTTTTTCTGTGACATCAGGTGAGTTTGACAACTCGAGTGGGGAGGACTCAGACTCAGGAAGTGACTTTGTAATGGGAGAATCAGGGGGAGAGAACTTGTGTATTCCAGCCCTAGGCTATTTAAAGAGATGTTCCCAGATCTTACAAACAATGTGGAAAATGCCAGCATGTCCTGTGTTCAACTGTGCAAAAAGGTGAGAAAGGGCAAATGTTGTCATTATTTGGTCACCTGAGTCCCTTAACAATCTGTTTTATGTTGATTTCATGATTCAATTTTTGAACAGTCTCGGTTTCTTCTCTGAAATGACTGAGCCAATGTCACTCGATGTTTAGAGGAAAAATAAAATGTTGAATTTCATGTCCCCAGACAGTGAAAATCTTATGTAATGTGATATTTGTGTTTCAATGGTGGAATTACATGTAAGCTGATCTTGTATTTAAGATGCTTTATTATTCCTAGTCTATAAAAATAATCTTCTTTACTCCTGTGAACATGTTATGCCTTTTTACTCCTGTGCAACTAATAGACAAGCTTCTTGAAGTGTGATAGTTAAGACAGATTCATAAAATACATGTCAAATGAGTCCAGAGTTGTAGTCCGAGGTGAAGTTTGTGATTCTTAGGTGACCATGACTTCTCGAGTATGAGTGAAAAATTCTATTAGGAATGTTCAACTCCATGAAAATTTATGAAAAAAACGTTACTACAGACATACATGTACATGTATATGTAAGACAAACTGCATCAAAATTTTACAAATGTTTGATTTGAAATTGGCATATAGTTGGAAAATTCAGGTACATACATGTATTAACTGCACAGTTTTGATTTTTTTTATGCTTTGGTGGTTTTGGCAGTATTTGTACTGTTTCCAAACATTCAGCCCTAAATAATTAAGAATGATTGACTTTGAGCTTGCCTTTAAACATTTACAGGATCCAGACCACTCCTACTCACATGTTTGTTGACTCCAGTCTACCTCATATGAACATGGGAGATTTTATCCAGCACTATGATGAAGTCAGTCAACAGCGCTGTCAGAGTTGTGTAGCCGAATTGTCACAATCAACAGTCGGTCAAAGGGAAGACCCAGCCCTGAAACCTGAGCCACCAGACAATATCCCTCACCTGGATGAGGGCGGAACAGACAGTCTGAATTCTGTGGATTCAGGTGTGATTACTTTGCAGAGTGACATTAAGTCAAATAACAAGACGGACAATGAGGAGGAGGATACACAGCAATGTCCCCCCAATGAGGGGGGTCACCCTGGTGATTCTGCTGGTCACTGTGAGAGATGTGCCGCTCTGAGACTCTTACAGAGACAGCCAGGGGGCGCTTCAGACAATCCCGCGAGTTCTTTTGGTTCATTGGATGCTATAGACAACAGTACGGGGATCCTACATGTCTTGTTCCTGTTGTTAGAAGGACTGGCAAGTGCTGTCTCATCTTGTCCTAAATCGTATCAACCCGAGACGCTCGAGATGTTGTTTGAGCTGCTCAAGGCCACAGCAGATGTTCCTGGTAAGATTTCTAGTCAATTTAAGTTTCCTCTGCCTATAGTTTAACAATATCTGCAACTACATTAAATATTAATATTGAGACATAATGTCTCAATTGGCAATCCAGTTTTATTGCTATATTGTAGGTGCTGAGTTTGCCCTATTTTGGCAGTCCAGTTTTGTTGCTATATTATAGGTGCTGAGTTTGCCCTATTTTGGCAGTCCAGTTTTGTTGCTATATTATAGGTGCTGAGTTTGCCCTATTTTGGCAGTCCAGTTTTGTTGCTATATTGTAGGTGCTGAGTTTGCCCTATTTTGGCAGTCCAGTTTTGTTGCTATATTGTAGGTGCTGAGTTTGCCCTATTTTGGCAGTCCAGTTTTGTTTCTATATTGTAGGTGCTGAGTTTGCCCTATTTTGTGTAAACAGTCTCCTTCTACCGATGATTCAGTCTTGGTTACGAGAGGGAAGCCGTAAGCTTGGATATTGGGACTGGGGGGCTAACAACTTTAAGCAATGCTGTGGCCTGTGTACAGACTTGGTAGTGGAACTGGTGCACAAGTTCTCAGGTAAAATCTATTTAGAACCAGGAATAAGTGGGATGAGGACAAAAATTTACATTCAGAATTATTTTGAGAAGAAAATATCCCTCAGATGGAAACTGTTACTTATTGTTTACCAAAGAGTGTTGTAGGGTTTATATGTACAGGTACTTGTGTATATATAAATAAACACGTGTTCTGTCATCTGCAAAGTTGAGGCCTAGGTATCTCTCTTTGTTTGTGTAAAAGTCAGATTTCTATAATATTTAAGACACAATCAAACACTGACACAGGTACATCCACAAGGGTTTCCCAATCTGTGGAGCTGATGCTGAAACAATTGTACAACATCCTGGTGGAGTGTATCTCCCAGCCTGCTGAGGTTATCTCAAGACTGGGCTGCTCCTGTATAAGGTATGTACCTTCTTAGCCTGCTCCTCTATAAGGTATCTACTTCTCAAGCCTGCTCCTCTATGAGGTATCTACTTCTCTAGACCGCTCCTCTATAATGTACCTACTTTTCCAGCCTAACCTCTATAAGATATCTACTTCTCCAGCCTGCTCCTCTATAAGGTATCTACTTCTCAAGCCTGCTCCTCTATGAGGTATCTACTTCTCTAGACCGCTCCTCTATAATGTACCTACTTTTCCAGCCTAACCTCTATAAGATATCTACTTCTCCAGCCTGCTCCTGTATAAGGTCTCTACTTCTCCAGCCTGCTCCTCTCTAAGATATCTACTTCTCCAGCCTGCTCCTCTGTAAGGTATCTACTTCTCAGCCTGCTCCTCTATAAGGTATCTACTTCTCTAGCCTGCTCCTTTATAAGGTCTCTACTTCTCCAGTCTGCTCCTCTATATGGTATCTACTCCAGCCTGCTCCTCTATAAGGTACCTACTTCTCCAGCCTGCTCCTCTATAAGGTATCTACTTCTCCAGCCTGCTCCCCTATAAGGTATCTACTTCTCCAGCCTGCTCCTCTGTAAGGTATCTACTTCTCCAGCCTGCTCCTCTATAAGGTATCTACTTCTCCAGCCTGCTCCTCTATAAGGTCTCTACTTCTCCAGTCTGCTCCTCTAAATGGTATCTACTCCAGCCTGCTCCTCTGTAAGGTATCTACTTCTCCGGCCTGCTCCTCTATAAGGTATCTACTTCTCCAGCCTGCTCCTCTGTAAGGTATCTACTTCTTCAGCCAGCTCCTCTATGAGGTCTCTACTTCTCCAGCCTACTCCTCTATAAGGTATCTACTTCTTCAGCCAGCTCCTCTATGAGGCTCTACTTCTCCAGCCTGCTCCTCTATAAGGTATCTACTTCTCTAGCCTGCTCCTCTATAAGATATCCACTTCTCCAGCCTGCTCCTCTATAAGGTATCTACTTCTCCAGCCTGCTCCTCTATAAGGCATCTACTCTCCAGCCTGCTCCTCTGTAAGGTATCTACTTCTCCAGTCTGCTCCTCTATAAGGTATCTACTCCAGCCTTCTCCCCTATAAGGTACAGACCCTAAAACGTGCTACTACACCACCTGCACGGTTCGGTTCATTTCTTTTTGTGTACGGTACGCTTCTTGCACGGTACGGTTCGTTTTGTGTACGGTACGGTTCGCTTTATGCACGGTACGGTACGCTTCTTGCACGGAACGGTTTGTTTTGTGAACGGTACGCTTTGGTGAACGGTATGTAAATTAAGTGGGCGGAGCTTGTACCCTTTGGTTTATGATTGGCTAGTTAATAAAGTCGTTTATTTCTTTATTATAATCTCTTAATTTTTTTACAGCTGTATTTTCGTTATTACATATAACTAGTCGTCTTATTAACTTATCTTATTTTAATTTACTTTCTGTATGAACTACTTTCAATATTCAAAATAATTTTAGTTGTCTATTATTTTGTTTTGTACACCATCGCCTTATGGTTCAATAACGTGGAAATAAATCAAACATATCAACAAACACTGTATAACAAGGATGAAAAAAAATATATTTTGGTTGCGTCGCCATAAATGACATTCTGTATTTTTTTTTAAAAAAGAATCAGCGTGCATATGTTTTTTTTTTCTTTTAATTTTCCTAATTGAATACAACTATTATTTTAAATATTCACTTATCATACTTTTAAACAAATGAGTTTGATGTTATAAATCCCTCATGCTTCCATTTCGTCTACCATTCTTTTTACGTTCTGGTCACTGTTGCTTCTTTAAAAAAAAATAAACAAACAAACAAACAAAAACAAAACAAAAACGAAAACATTTTTTCTCTTGACCAAATGATCAAACAAACAATAAAAAAATAAGTTATTATTTTCATTTTTATTTACGAGGAATTATTTTTTTTTTTTACATAGATACCTTCGGTTTTTTGCTCACTAGGGAAAATACATTGAAAAGTAGAAGTGCACACAATTAGTGCAAAATATTACTTTATCTTTTGTGCGCGTAATTGGCTGCAAAGACAGATTTCCGAACTAAATAATATGTCAAAATGTTATAAATAAATACTCTGTTTTCAATTACCTAGAAAATAAATAATATGCAGTCCTCAAAAACTTTGAAAATGAATAATTTGCCCATGCCGGGTGCTACCCCCCCTCCTTTTGTTTCCTTGTCAAACTCAAATTTTTTTTTTATTGAAGTTCTAGAGGAAAGGCTGACTGCACATGAAATTCTGTTTATCTGCAGATTAAAATGGTTCATATTTGTAGATTTACTGTTCAAGACAGCAACTGTTGATATACGTGTGAATGTAGGCATATCTTGACTAACGGGATTAGATACGGTTCAATATACACAGCTTAAATTTTTACCTGTGCACGTGTGATGACAATGCATGATCGAAATTTTCAAATGTTTTAGAGTAAATAACGAAAGTTTAGAAAGACGTCAGTCTAGATAACGAGATCATGGCAAGAAATGTACAGTGTTTCTTTAAAAAAAAAAAAAATTGGATGAACACGCATGCACGGACTACGCATTAAAAAAAAGGATTAAACTGGGCTTTGTGTATAAATTCTATGGCATGAAATGCACAGTGTTTCTTTAAAAAAAAACTTGGATGAACACGCATGCATGGACTACGCATTAAAATAAAAAAAAATTAAACTGGGCTTTGTGTGTAAATTCTAGGTAAAATATTTTTACCTGCAGGTTTCAGTGAATAAAGCAAATGAAATGGGAAAATGCTTTGAATAAAAATTAATTCTGACATATATCCAGATTTGTTTTTTTTTTAATTACGTGTATTAAACTGAAAATTCCATGCGAAAATGTGGCGATCGAACTTTTTGATAGAATGTTATATTGGCGATAACATCTTGGGTAGATCGAGGAGTGTAAACGAACAAATATGATTTTCTATATACATCGCTTTTATTTTTTTTTTTTCCTAGTGATTTTGACATGTCCGCTTTCAAATTGACAATTTAGTTCGTAATTTTTTTGAAATTATTTTTGTTGCTAAATCTGTAATCATTTCTCCCTAAAACTATTACTTACATGAATAGAAAATGATTTTAATGGCTTGATTTCGGAAAATAGCACAGGATCCTAATACATTTTGCAATGTGTCTTGGTTTCCGAGAACATTCATAGAGACAAGAATAGGGTAGATAAAAGCTACAGAAATAAACGATAAAGTATTTAATTCACTTTTATTTATTATAAATTGTACACGAAAATATTACGATGCTGCATTTAATATGAAAAAAATGTTAGTCAAGCACAACCCGATCATGCATAGCGAATAAGGAATCCCCTCATACTCTGTCGAGTTGTTTTGAAGTCGTAACTAGTTTTGAGTAGTTTCCTTATATTAACAGATGTAAGTCCAGATGCATGGTACTTAACAATAATATTTTGAATCTCTAGGTTTATTTTCGGTCCTTCTATAACGGGCGCTGCATTGAAAGAAATAAAAGAAAATTATTTACTGTATTTGGTCATTCGGAATGCTTTCAGGGCGTGGCTTGCATAATTATTTCAAAAATTATTCATGAACGGTACGGTTCGCTTTGTGCATGGTTCGGTACGCTTCTTGTACGGATGGTTCGTTTTGTGTACAGTACAGTTCGCTTTGTGCACGGTACAGTACGCTTCTTGCACGGTACGGTTCGTTTTGTGTACGATACGGTTCGCTTTGTGCATGGTACGGTACGCTTCTTGCACGGCCTGCTCCTCTATAAGGTATCTACTTCTCTAGCCTGCTCCTCTATAAGATATCCACTTCTCCAGCCTGCTCCTCTATAAGGTATCTACTTCTCCAGCCTGCTCCTCTATAAGGCATCTACTCTCCAGCCTGCTCCTCTGTAAGGTATCTACTTCTCCAGTCTGCTCCTCTATAAGGTATCTACTCCAGCCTTCTCCCCTATAAGGTATCTACTTCTTAGCCTGCTTCTCTATAAGGTATTTACTTCTCCAGCCAGCTCATCTGTAAGGTATCTACTTCTCCAGTCTGCTTCTCTATAAGGTATCTACTTCTCCAGCCTGCTCCTCTATAAGGTACCTACTTCTCCAGCATGCTCCTCTATAAGGTATCTACTTCTCCAGTCTGCTCCTCTATAAGGTACCTACTTCTCTAGCCTGCTTCTCTATAAGGTATTTACTTCTCCAGCCAGCTCCTCTGTAATGTATCTACTTCTCCAGTCTGCTCCTCTATACGGTATCTACTTCTCCAGCCTGCTCCTCTATAAGGTATCTACTTCTCTAGCTCTATAAGATATCCACTTCTCCAGCCTGCTCCTCTATAAGATATCTACTTCTCCAGCCTGCTCCTCTATAAGATATCTACATCTCCAGCCTGCTCCCCTATAAGGTACATGTATCTACTTCTCCAGCCTGTTCCTCTGTAAGGTAACTACTTCTCCAGCCTGCTCCTCTATAAGATATCTACATCTCCAGCCTGCTCCCCTATAAGGTACATGTATCTACTTCTCCAGCCTGTTCCTCTGTAAGGTATCTACTTCTCCAGCCTGCTCCTCTATAAGGTATCTACCTCTTCAGCCTGCTCCTCTGTAAGGTATCTACTTCTCCAGTCTGCTCCTCTTTAAGGTACCTACTTCTCCAGTCTGCTCCTCTTTAAGGTACCTACTTCTCCAGTCTGCTCCTCTATAAGGTCTCTACTTCTCCAATCTGCTCCTCTTTAAGGTACCTACTTCTCCAGTCTGCTCCCCTATAAGGTATCTACTTCTCCAGCCTGCTCCTCTATAAGGTATCCACTTCTCCAGTCTGCTCCTCTGTAAGGTATATACTTCTCTAGCCTGCTCCTCTATAAGGTATCTACTTCTCCAGCTTGCTCCTCTATAAGGTATCTACTTCTCCAGTCTGCTCCTCTATAAGGTATCTACTTCTCCAGTCTGCTCCCGTATAAGGTATCTACTTCTCCAGCCTGCTCCTCTATAAGGTATCTACTTCTCCAGTCTGCTCCT